CTTGGCGTACATATTCATAGGTCGCCGGTATTTAAGCATAGTGCGCAAAACCATATTTATATGTCTCCGGCAGTTTAACAACAGTAAGGAAAAAACATATTTTTATGTCTCCGGACCGTAATGTGTTTAAATATGACATCTATTATTCCAATCCTTTTATAATCAACATGCCGCAAAGTGGAACAAAATTCCATACCAGCATTTTCACTGAAAAGATTTGATTAATCAAGCCGAAACTTTTACCATAGACAAACTAAATACGAATCTAGAACCAACAAAATAGTTTTTATTTAACTGATGGAAAGAAGGTTGTTTTCCAATACCTGATTTTGACCTAAGAACGATACTATAACAGATAGATTTATCAACCTTGTGGTTGGTTCTTTCATATTGTATCGCATATTTTATGGATTATAAGCGTTTATGACTTTTTTGGACCGCAAGAAAGGAAAAGAATTCTTCTTGTCTGTATAGAACAGAAAGACTATATCCCCTTCACGCAATATCTGAATAGCCATACAAGCTTGAATATTCTTCTCTTTCATCTTGCAACAGGTCTATTCTGTGTTCTTCATCATCAAAGAAAACAAAACGAAAAAAAAGGAAAAAGAAACAGGACAAAAATAGTTTCGTTCTGTTGCGTTAGATTTCTTGTTAGATATAAAGATTGAACATGTGAATATCTGTGATCACTATTAGAAGTGAAAGTGCATATCTCAAATATATTTTTCTTCAAATATATCAAAGCGGATAAAATGAAAAATTCAGTACTAAACTGAAGACTTTGTATCTGGCTATTTTGAAGTGTTAAAATAGCATGATTCATTATGTTATTTATTTTCTCATTGAATAAGATCTACGCTACACGGTTTGTTTCATCTACGTGTTTGTCTTTTTTTCTATGGCGGTGTAGATGAGTGACTTTAATATTATCGAACAGAAAGTGCATCTTTTTACTTCGAGGAATGGAAGTTCAAAGCCTTCAGTTTAGCGGAGAAAATAGATTCAGAATTTTTGTATTGCAGCTTCTTTCGTTTTCTGATACCTTTGGAACTGCTAAGGTCAGTAAGTTCTCTGTTGTGTGAACATATCTTGTTCAACTATCTTGAGTCCGCGAAACTGGCAAGTTCCTGTGCCAGAGAAATGTTTTTTCTGACATGAAAAGGTCTTGCTCGAGTAAGTTATGGTAGCAAGAAATTACGAAAAAAAGCAGTTCTTTGGTTCGTAACCGCATCACGAGTGATCCGGTGTATCTTAAAGTCGTACATTGCTGATCCGTTGAACGAGATTGACTTGTATTTCGAAATGGGGATAAAATCTCGTGATGTTGTGAGTCAGATACATTTGTTGAAAGTAATACAAGAAAGAGTGCAAGAAATGTTACAAAATCTTGACGTCCTTTCTGACAAAGAACTTTCACCCTAGGGAGTTGCTCCGAAGGACATCACTTTGGCTTCCGTTCCTATGGTTAGAGAAGTGGATTGGTGTATTATAAACTACATGTTCTAATTAGCCAGGATATATTTGAGATTTGAAAACTCTTTTCTTTGCTCCCAGATCGAGAAAATTTATTTCACTAAAGATCACTAAACATGGTCAATAGCTCGTTTATAATTCTTTTGGGACAGAAACACACGGATGGATTTTTTCAAATTGGGTGAAACAGATCAAATTATCAAATTGTTAGCGCCAGCGGACTAATACTATGTTTATTTGCTCTCTGATAAAGAAACTTGAAATTGAAGAAAATTGTTTTCGTTCTTCTTTTCTTAGTTTTTTCCTTTAGATAAGAAAACAAGAAAAGAGAAGAAACGAATCTAAATAACACAAAAACACTTGTTTTTTTCAGTTCTATTATTTTTATCTGCGCACGTTTTGTTTCACTACGGTCACATTTTGTGCTATTAAAAGCTATGTCATCTGTCGATCAACTTCAATTACTCATTCCTACGCTAAATCAAACACCGCCCCTTCCCATTCACACTCTTCCAATCTACAGTATTGGCTCCGGTGCAATTGTGAACAATGCACACCTTCCAGCATATCAACTTGCAAAATTTAATGTCATTGGTATTTACGATAAAAATTTAGAAGCAGCGCAGAAAACAGCTGAGAAATTTGGAATTTCAAATGTATTTAAAACACTCGACGACCTCATTTCAGCATCTATCACCTCTTCGTCATCCAAAGTCATCTACGATATTGCAACACCAGCAACAGAAATTTCACTTATTCTACAACACTTACCACAAAATTCCTATGCATTAATACAGAAACCAATGGGTGAAACTCTGGAGCAAGCACGTGAAATACGTCGTCTATGTAAAGAGAAAAATATACAAGCTGCAATTAATTTTCAGTTACGTTATGCACCACAAATGTTAGCTGTAACAGATTTATTGAAGAAAAATGTATTGGGAAAGAAATTGACAACAGTTGAAATACATGTAAATACCTACACACCATTTGAAAACTGGCCGTTTTTGGAAAAGGTAGGTTAAGAAAAGACGACTATTTTGATTTCTTCTGAACGCAAAAAAGATTACAGCTGCCTTTTTGTTCATAGTCCCTTTCCTTTGCACTCAGAAGTTCGAGATTCTATCGTCGGTAAAAAAAGGAATGGGCTCGGATGTTTCTGGAATAACGTTTGATAGCGGTGGATGGTTGCCGTCTTCACTAATCGAAAGCTAGAAGCTAACTGCATCTTTTCACAATAAAAGTCATTTCAAAATCTTTTCCTAAAGCAGGTTTTTCTACGAGACCTTGGGAAAAATAGATCATTACTCAAAAAGTTGAAGTACAAATAGTTTGATTTTTTCTGATGAATAGATAGCCCAAAGTGTCCTCTTCAAAATGGGAGTCAAGCGAGACTCTCATCTTCGATCGTTTAGGCCTGGCGTCGGATTTTCTGAGAGTCGCAGGACTAGTCTGTTTTCACATGTTAAAACCCCAGAAATCACTGTAGACAAGGGTTATCGACGCTGCTAAATCTCATGGCAATATTTGCTTTTACGAAGAGTTCAAAAATCTGCTGA